TAAGTTCGATAATTCATCCCATAAGATCTTTTATTTGAGTGAAATACTCTTTAACTGATAAGGTTCCTTACTTTAAAGAAGAAATGTCATCATATATGTCTGAAACTCTTACCAAATCACACTATGCAAACCTATCATAGAGATCCTTCTAGAGATCCTTCGCGTAATCAATCCAGATTACACTTTGAGTAATGGACGGTGATAGCGATTGCATAATCCATGAGACAACTATACTATTGCACCTTTTCCATGAATCATACATAGGATCATCTTTGTTTGGGACCGGGATAGAACAGTCCATGAACTTGAATTTATTTTTGGATATTAAGGCCAATCTCATCGAACGGGACCAAGAGTGAAAATTATTACCTGTCAGAACCAAGGAGGTAAGCATGAGCGACAGACTCGTTCAGGTGAAGGTAGAAAGGATTTGCTGTGACTTCCTCATTCTTTCAAGATTCATGAATCATATGAGTCTCCATAACAGATTTACTGATGAAATCATCAAGATTTTGATCAGAAAGAAGACTAAGGGTTTCTGTGAAAAATTGAGCGATTAACAAACCAACAAATTAAATTAGTGTGGCTCTGATATCATATTAAACTTACTGTATAAATTGAACTGATAATCAAAGGAAAAGTTTGAAGATTAACAATTTTTGTAAAAAAGATAAAAGGAAATCAGAAGCCTCTGGGAAAGAAGAGAACACAAAGAGAAATCTGGAAAAACTACTTCAGTTATTATAAACAGTAAATGTGTGCGTATTTATACATAAAGATTAACTTATGCCCAATTACAAATATAACCCTACAATTACACAAAATTACCCAAAACAAATATAACAACTATTCTAATATATAATGAGATTTGATTTGTTGTTTTGCTATATCTACCCATGTCTATGTTCCTCTTAAACAGGAAATTATTAAAAAAAAAAACAGACATATTAGTAAACATTAGATTTTATACATGATATTTTGATTCAAATCATTACAATAACAAGCCCCATTAGATCTAATATCATGAACTTTAGAAGCCTATTATTAATGCATCTACTATCTTTTGGGCCACAACTCATAAGCTTAGTAATGGAAGGTTGTTATGAAAAATCATATGGGTTTAAGAATCAGATAAAAAAGGAAATAGTGATTTC